AAAATGGAAGCTACTATAACATAATAGGGTGTATATAGGGGTTATATTGGGGTTATATATAGGGATAATGGAAAAGAAAATGGAAACTACTATAATGGGTTATATAGGGGTTCTATAGGGATTATAGGGTTTATTGGAAAGAAGCACATGGATCATACAGGTATGTAGGCAAGAATGTATACAAGGATGCGTGTCTGGGTGCATGTACATATGCGTGCATGCATGGCGCATGCACACATATACATGCAGCGCGCATCCATATTAACTTGTGGGGGACCTGAAGCTGCCCCTCAACCTCAGACTTAGGATGTATATTCTAGACAGGCAAGCTCCACCAACATTGATCTGAAATTATCTGGATCTAGATGGGCCCTGAAACCGACCAAGAAAATGGGCAAAGTCCCCCCAAAACTCTCTGCTCTGCTAAATCCTGCGCCCTTAGCCTTTCTGTAGCCAAAAAAATCCAGAACCCTTGAGATCCCCAAGCAAACAGGGCGACCACACCCCGAAGACCTGATGCTTCTCTGCCCAGCTGGACATCTGCCCTCAGGTCTTCACTTTTCTCCCAGGTGTTGAGGCTTCACAGGAGGGGATGCAGGAATGGAATATAATAGGGTATATATAGGGGTNNGGTTATATTGGGGTTATATATGGGGATAATGGAAAAGAAAATGGAAACCACTATAATGGGCTATATAGGGGTTATATAGTGTGCGTTGGTAATCCCAATCAGTTCCAACAGCAGTGAGATGAGCTAGAAATGGTCTCAGAAGATGAGGTGAACAGCACCATTGGGAGCATTTGCATTGCGAGCGTGGTGACACAATGCCGTTTCCAGTTTCTCCACTCTTGAAAGGATGAGCGCAAAACACTATTGCCATTGCCATTATCATTGGCGGCAGCATCATCATCGGCAGCAGCAGAAACGGAATCAGCAGATGCAGCAGCGAAGGCGCTGGCGGCGACTGCACCAGGTGCTGTTTTTTTCTGTTGGCTGTTTACGTCTGTTGCTGCTATGATGTGTGGTGATGAGTTACTATACAGCTTGCTAGCGCTCTTATGGACACCTCCACGGGCTTCCGCAGCGATTCTCAACTGCTCTCAGGACCCTGCGGTAGGCGGATACCAGCTTGGCATAGAACGGCAAGATTGCCCTTGGCAGCAAAACTTGTTGCAGGTGCCGTCATCTGGAAGTTCCCAAAACCCCACTCGTGCTTCCTTGCATATCGCTGCCGTTCACACACAGCATGGTCTTATTGCAAGGGGAGGATTGTTTCATCGCTGGAGACAAGGGATTCAACATGTTTGAACAAACCCAAGCCCGAAACGAAACTTCGAGCGACTTCACATGGGAGTTTCTCAAAACAATGGGCCGTGCTTGAAGCAGTGCATCATTTTGGGAATATGTGGGCCAACTCTGATTTGGAGAAATACCTAGAGGACATACCTAGAGGACTATGCTCACATCAGATACTTTGTTGCGCTGTTGCCATGTCCCATCTTGGTAATTCAGCAGCTTGGTATTGAGCTGCTACAGTTTGCTTTTGCCATCGTCCTAGTTGCTCGGGTTAGATTCCGACTCACCATGGCAGCTCATCACAATAATGTTCACACAAGCTTCAAGAGATGATGGCCCAACCAACGCTACAAAGCAGAAACTTCTCCAGTAAGGGGCCTGAGATCAACACCCCTGTCCCCATCTGCTGGGGCGCTTGCTGTTTGACTTGCGTGCTGTTCTGGTCAGGGGCAAACTTCTGGATCCGGCAGTATTTCCTGGCAAGTCTTGGTGCTAGAAACATACGAAGGCCCTAGACTCACAGTAGCAACAGCAGTAGCCCTAGCAGACATAATCACACACAGCAAGGCAGCATGCCAACAGTACTGCTTTGTTGAGAAACGACATGGCCAAGCTACATGCCAACATGCAACCCAAAGTACTGCCAAGCGTCATGTCTGCCGTCAGCATCTTGTCCAGGAAGGGCTCAGCAGAATCTTGCATTTTCTCGTGGAAAGGGACTTCATTTCCAACGACATGCCCTCGCCAATCCTAACACTGAGTCCAAACAACATGACCCTCCTCCTGGAAGAGGGAATTCCCTACTTAACCCCCAGGAAGTCATCTGCTTGTAATGATAGTAATAACAATAACAGCGGTCTGTCGGATCGTAAACGCGCACCGATTCATCGGTGCGCAACGCTAAAGTGCAGAATCCACTGCAAAACGCAGTATTTTTGCAAGCACGCACCTATGAGCCGTCCCAAAAATGCACGTCCAAAAAATGAGAAAAAATTGCGCGTGCCTTTGCAAAAATACTGCGTTTTGCAGGGGATTCTCATCGCCAGCATTTGAGATTTGAGGGTTTGTTCTTGATGAAGCCCTGCATCCTGGGGGTTGTATATTATAGGATTCGAAGTGAAGCGCTTGCGGAGGCTGATTCTATAAAGGCATCTAGGTTCTGGAGGAACTGCAATTGTCCGGGGCATCGTGGATGTGACTTGCAAGTCGGCAAACCCGTAAATGTTAGCAACGTAATTAACCCGAAACGCAACATCCGTAAACCCGCAAGCGTCAAGCATCTGCATGCTTGTCATGGCAAGTGCACCCTTGTATGCTCTGGGAACACGAACGTTATTATGGTTTGGGCATGGATGTTCTGGTGACCGTATGCTCTGGGAACCCGAACGTTATTATGGTTTGGGCATGAATGCTCTCGTGACCATATGCTCTAGGAACATGCACGTTATTATGGTTTGGGCCTGGATGCTCTCGTGACCGTATTCTCTGGGAACACAAACGTTGCTATGGTTTGGGCGTCGATGCTCTCGTGACCGTATGCTCTGGGAACACGAACGTTGTTATGGTTTGGTCATGGATGCACTGGTTATCGGGTGCACTTGGAACGCGAAAAACACGATGCATGTTATACGCAGTACTTCAAGCCCTCGAAACACTTCGAATGTGTGGTTCGTGCCACGCAGGCCACGTCCGAAGAGGTCGGCCAAGTATACATTTTTTGCACGTGTACGCTCCGGCGGAGCCAATAACAAAAATCATACAAGTAGTAGCACAAAAGCAAAAGATAAGAGCACTAAAAATGACAACTATAGTGATTATAATTGTAATAACAAGCATACTCATAACAGTAACAGAAAACTTTTAAGGGCAGGGCCGCATCCACCTCCCTCCAGGAAGCAAAGATGGACTGAGACTTGTCCCACTTTGGCATCTCCGGAGCCTTGCAGAATGGATTCGGACAATTGTTATTACTTAGGAGGACCCCCCACCCTGTAATAGTGGTATAATAGGAATATAAGAGGACCCTAATATATTCCTTATTATTACTGGGTGGGGGGTCCACCTAAGTTATTGCCATTATCTGCTATTATTCTTACTATTATGTTTCTTGTCATTATTCTCATGCCTATTCTTATGGTTGTTCTTTTTATTACTACTACTATTAAACAGGTAAGGAGTGAGGCAGATGCTGGCAGCTCCATATTGCTGCCATACAGGCTTCTCAGGATCGAGCCTTTCTCCGAAGATGCGAGACTCTGCATGATTTCTCCAACCCCCCCACGCCCTTGAAAAAAGAGCAAAAGCAGCAGCCACTCAACTTACTACGGGAGATAAGCTTTGCTTCCACAATCGGAGATCGAATCCTGAGAAAGATCAAACCGTAGTAAAATGTAGGAAGAACACAAGCACAACGGCACTGAAGAGAAGTCCAACGCAAGTGCTTTCAACCCTCTAACTGGAACAATTGTGTGTCTAAAAGTCTGAGAGGCATGACCATGTTTCAAGCTGCCCTGCAGTTCCTCATTTTTATTATTACTGTTCTTATATTTATTGTTCCTATCTTTACTACTTACTAGTGTCGGTACTATCATTACTATGATTATTACTATTACTATACTTGCTATTATTTTGTTAATATAATTCTTGCTCAAGAGCAGATATTGAAAATAGTTCAAGCATGCAACTAGTCCATGCACCTCAACACTCAGAAGACTTTCACACAGGAGAACAGTAGAATCTCCATTTTCTCAAATAGTATTGATGCTGTAGCACCAGGCGGCCTCTCCCCGATCCACAGTGCGCGGGTAGACTTCCAGCTTCCCTTCTGCCACCGCATCCTCTACTTGTAGGTGCATTAATAGTAATAGTGTTATCAATACTACTGATCATTACAAAAATCATCATATGATGATAGCAAAAATCGTAATAATAGTAACTAGAATAATATGTGAGATTATAAGTGTGGTGTGTTTCTTTGTTGTAAATACTGTTTTTGATCCTCCCACAAGCAGTCAAAGGGGGCTTGGGGTGGTACTTCACGGGGGATACTTGCTAGGGAGGTGGGAGGCTTGTTGTTTGCAGAGGAGCTTCATTATAAGGTCTTCATTATAAGCATGTTGTATCCAAGAGTTCTACAGAGCGATACATGTATTGAATTCTGGATAAAGTTAAGTAAGGTCACATGTGCTGCAACGAGGGCTGTATCTGGCTGTTATTATAGATATCCTAGCTGTACACTAGCTATGACCCTGGTTGAAACTAGCATGAACCTCCAAGTAGCTCAGGTTCAAGGACTTCTTACATGGCTACAGGACATGGAACTCTATTCGACAAAAATCGTGGTATTGTATTGCAAGCTTCAACAGGAACTTTTCAAAGTAGGGCGTCGGGCGTAGGGGCACTGTCTTGACAAGGAGCTTCTGGTTTGGCAAAATCCGACATGAGCCATTTCCCGAAACCACTGAATCAGCATGCTACAAGTAGCAATTCTTCCGGAGTAGGATACGGCAGCCTGCGTCACGGGCCAATAGAATTCAGACTAACACAGGAGGGTCGACGTGGGATTGCACATGGGTTCTACCAGTGGAATTGTCAGAAAGGATCTGGCCTACTGCTCGAACGTGCTGAGATTGCTCAGCCTATCCACAGATCAGCCCATGCTCAGGGTTCGAAATTGTAGAAAGCGTGATCGCTTGAAGCAAACCTCAATCGGTAGATGGTAGATGGCCATTTGCCACTTCAATCCTTCAATGGTTGGGTGGATTCTAGGTGGAAGAATCGCGCCACATAGGAAATGGAGGTGCGGCAACGTCTAGAGTAATGTAATTGAGTTGGTTCAGCATTTTCTTCATCAAGATACTGAAGCAACCTAAAAACCACAGAAAACACATCCCAAACACGGTCATGCCCCGTCCTCCGTGACCACCAGCGGAAAGCCGCGAAGGTCCTGGTTGCTGTGTTGCCCTAATCGTGCATGAAGTCCCGACAGTTCTGCATATATTCCTTGCTTGCATTTCCACCAAAAACGCCATTCAACGAGGCCTCGCTGTAACAACCAACGTTGTTGTTTCTACTTCCTTTGCATTGCACAGTCCTGTTCAAGGCTGACAGCTCAGTGTCTGGGCTGCGGTTTTGGAATTCCGCGCTCTCTGAACACCCAGTAGTGCAAGCGCTATGCTGAAAATTGCCGTTCTGACGAGCTGATTTTCTCTGCCATTCACAGCCCGGCTCATGCACCTCACATGTATAGAACCGCTCGAGAGGAGTACACAAAGTCATGCCACTGTAGGCGTTCAATGATCACTGAGATCCCTGCAGAGACCTCAAAACAAAACCATGCACTTCACATGCAGAATGCGCTATTTGCCTTGAAAACCAGCTCATTTGCCCACAGCGTCTCGGTGATTACCTTGGTTTCCTGGCGGCCGCGTTAACATGACACGAATTGGGAAGTGATCAGGATGATGACTAGAGGCCTGTTCTCATTACTTACATGGAGATAGGTGGAGAGAAGAGATTTCAACAACGAACCACTGAAGGTTAAGTAGGGTGGGAGTTTGTGCAATCCGGAAGGTCTGTCGAGCTGATGATTTGTCATAGCAGTGTCGGTCCTCTACCGCCGAATCGCCGGGCGAATCAGCTTGCCCCGCCCCTGAGCAGATTTTTCTTCAAAAAGCGTAGGAAGCCAGTAGGGCTCATAGTTTGATGGGGGTCTAGATCTCGACGTACGAGGCTTCAAAATGTAGATGGACAAGACAGTGGGAAGTCTTGAAGCAGGGTTGGCTTAAGGCTTGATGATTCTCAGCTGCTGGCCCATTAACAACGAAACTCCACAATGCTGTGACAGCCAGTGATGTGTGCTCACATGGTGAGACAAATCCTTGACTCTAAGACACCTGATGCACCCGCGCTTTCAATTCCTCTCATCAACAGGCCTGCTCAAAGCAGGCCCAGCCATACCACCTGAGGGCTGAAACCAGTATCCCGCAGAGTAGATCGACCCCACGAAGTTCCCTAACTGCTCAACACGTATCCCTTCATCTTAAATTCCCACCTCATCCTAATGTCACCTACCCCAAACCCCAAACCAATGCCTTCTGCTGGCAGAAAGCTGGCAAGTTCCGCTTCGCTGACTTGGGAGACCTTCACCTGAGCCGCGCAACCAGGATGCTAAGTTACCATAAGGTGGAGATGTAGGGCTTATATAGAAATATACCGAGAATATTTATGGAAATGTAGGGTAGTAAGGAAGGTTACCCCACTAAGGGCAAGTCAAATGGAAAAGCAAATGGAAAATGAAACGGAAACTGTGGTAGCCCATTGGCATAGCATACCCCAATAATACAGAATCAAACGGATGATGACATGAAAGCTATCATGTTTTAGATCCTTTCTCACCTTTTTGTGCCAACAGCCTGCTAGGGAGGTATTATTTGGCATTTAGGGTTTAGGGAGAGTGCCCCTCCTAATGGGGAACACACGGAAAAACAAATGGATACTGAA